CTAGCCTCACAGGGGCTAGCTTCGTGGGCCAGGAGGAGGCAACACAACCCACCCCCTTGCTCACCAGTTTCCTAGTGCCCGTAATTCGCGTGGACGCGTTATACGTGAAAATACGGTACATTTCCTAGCCTCCAGCTCATCAAATAGGGTCTCAAATCCCAACACAGGGCCGTGCACACAGTAGGCATTCAGTATCTGCTTATGAACATCACAGAACAGGGCTCATCTGGAAAAGTCACCTCTGGTCTCCGCTAGCCCGGAGTCATCGAATCGATTCCGACTCACAGCGACTCCCACTGGTTTTCCAAGGCGGTAAATCTTTACGGAAGTATATTGCCCAGTTTTGCTTCCGCGGAGTGGCTGGTGGGTTTGAACCACCAGCCTCTGCTGAGCAGTCAGATGCTCTGGTCACTGTGCTACCAGAGAGGAGCCCACCAAATAATGCTGTAATTATCCCGTCGCGGAGAGGTGGCGGGGGGAGGGTGTTTGGGGGTTGACCATGACGCCAGAGGACGTGACAGCGTGGGTTGGGGGCGCTGCGACGTCATAAAGCACGCTCACGCTGTCACACAAAGAACTCAAGACTCCGCCCATGCCCAGACTAGGAGGGAGGCGCTGGTGAAATCTTTTGGCAAGTGGGAGTGGAGCACTTACCCAATGGTAGAATGCCTCCGAGTCTGCGCACTTCAGCCCGGCACGCCCCTTCCGTACAGCAGTTGGCTAGGATGCTGAGGGCCAAGTCCAGCGTCTTGCGCAGGCGCGCTGGCGGCGAAGAAGTCGATGAGGTCGCAGCAGAGGGGGTGGAGCCCACTGGGGGGGCGGGACCAGCAGAAACCGCTGGAGGGGCGGAGCCAGGGCTTGCCTGGGGTGGGGCGGGGTCCGCCGCAGCCGCTCGCCGTAGCAGCGCAAGAAGTGGGCGGAGCCCGCCGCGTGCCCGGAAGCGTTCGATTCCCCCTGCTGCCTTGACGTGGCGCGTGCGGAGGGCTAAGAGCGCACGCCCCAGGGGTGTCTCGTTGGTAGCCATATCCTTTCCCCCACCCAGACCGTCCCCGGCCGCCGCTGTGAGCTGCGCGAGGCAGAACGAGAGCGAGTCCGTGGGGGTTGGCTTTGCAGCCGCCATCTTGGCTCAGGCCGAGGCTCCGCCCCCTCGCCCCGGGTCTGAGGGGAGCGGAACTGCAAGAGAGGGGCGTGGCCAAGCACCGCCTCTCTGACGCTTTTTAAATAGCGCCGCCGCGGTTATCAAGCACGTCGGGAGTTGTAGTTCTCGATCCCAGAACTCTGATTCTTGCATCGTCGCAGAAATCACGTCTCCTATTTGCTCATTGTGCGAGTCCAGAGTGTGGTGGGATATGTAGTTCATACCAAGCTTAAGACACCTGGTTTAGGACGAATGAGGAACTCCCGGCTGTTCCAGAGGACTCTGAATGGGCAGAGCTAGGTGCCTCTGGCGTGTCCCAGCCACCGTCTTCCCTCTTGCAGGCTTACTTCCGCCGCCCCGAAGCGGTACCCGGGCCCACATGTCCAGGGTGAAGGATTCTGAGAACTTCAAGTTAGGCCAACAGTGTCAAGTTGCGGACAGCAGCCGTATATAGGGAACTCTTGCTGGGCCAGGTGAATGAGGGGGTTAACCTATCGAGACCATTTGCCGCCTCTTCCTAGAGCGGCAAGGTCTTGTGGACATTTCCGTTTCCGGTACTTAACCCCTGGATTTTGAGTGTCTCCCTCTCTGGTCCGTTTATTTGTGGAGCGAGTGGCTGGTGTCCAGGGATCCGGGCGCTCTCACTCGCAATGGAGTTGGCGGCTCCAGAGGTGTTGAGATCCCGGGCGGAGCAGGGCGGCCGGAGAACAGGACATCAGAATCCCCGGGATTTCTGAAGTCTCCCCTGGATTGCGGGGTTGTTGGCTTTAGTAGCCCTTCCTGGTGTGGCTGGGATAGCCGGCCGCCCGGGACATTCCGCTGGGCCTGCAATGGCGATGTAGGTCAGGGTCTGGCCCTGGGAAGAAGCCCCTGCCAAGGCCTCTTGTTCTACGCTTCCCAAGGTTTCAAGTGGGTTGACCGCAGCTTTCCTCCCTGACTTTATCCACCACCAAAGTAGGCACACACATGACGAGCCTTACTGCTGTCCAGAGTGTGGCAGAAACTTCCGACGTGGTCCAGATCTGACTAAGCACCACCAGCTCTAATGGTGTAGTGGTTAAGACACTTTGTTGGTAACCAAAAAGTCGGTGGTTGGAACTGGCCGGCTGACCAGCGGACGAGAGATGAGGCAGTCTGCTTCAGTAAAGATTTAGTCTTGGAAACCCAATGAGGGTCTCTATGAGTCCGAATTGACTTGATGGGCAGTGACTTTGGTTTGGTTTTCCTGGGTACACACTGGCGAGAAACCGTATTTCTGCCCGGACTGTGGCTGCTGCTTCAGCCTCACCTCCAGTCTGCCAACACCGTTGCTCCCACTCAGGCCACTGGCCTCACAGTGCCCAGAGTGTAGCGGGGCCTTTGGCCTCTTCTGTGACCTGGGTAAACAACGACTGCACACGGGTGAGAAATCCTATAGCTGTGCTGAGCATGGCAAGACTTTCAATGTCAGCCCGGACCAGTACCACGACACGCACACCAGCCAGAAGCCCTACTGAAGTGGGGGCTGTGGCAAAAGCTGCAGCCTGAGGTTAAACCTGTTGGAACCCCAGTGTTCCCAGACCAATGAGAAGCCCTACTGCTGTGCCTGGTGTGGTGACAACTTTGGGTGAAGCTCTTATTTGCTCATGCACCAGTGTGTTCATTCACTGGTGAGAAGCCCTACAGTTGCTGAGAGCGTGGCAAGAACTTCACTGACAGCTCAGGTTGCCTACGGCATCAGTGGACCCACAGTGGGAAGTGGCCCGTCAAGTGTCCTGGGCGCAGCCTCAGATTAGTGAGCACACCCAGTGCACGAGTGCGTACACTCATGTGAGCGACCTTATGCCCGTCTAGAATGTGGCAAAAGCTCCTACCACAGTTCCAAACTCCTTAAACACTAATGGTCACATACTGGCAAGAAGCCATCTAAGGACCCCAATTGCAGCAAGAGATATGTGGACCACTCAAATCTGCTGCAGCACCGACAATACTCATGGGGCCAGAAGCCTTCCACTTGCAGCAAGTGCAGCAAGAGCTTCGGCCAGAGCTCTTACCTGCTCATCCACCAGGTGGCCCACAACAGTGTGCAACCCCGTGTCTGCCCGCAGTGTGGCAAGGCCTTTGCCTGCAGCTCCAACCCAGGCCCAGCACCAGCACCAGCAAATGCATCAGAGTGGCAGATCTTGCAAATATCCCTGGCTTCAGCTTCAGTCCAAACTTCAGCTCTGACTTGGCCCAGTCATTGGAAAGCCTAAGGGGATCAGTGTCCTCTGAGCAAACCTTTCTGCTCCTGTTGATTTGTGACTTGACAATGGGAGTGAAGAGAGCCTCTGCATTCTTTCTTAGGCCTTCTTGGTTGAGTCATGGGCCCCGAAGCTGGAGAAATGAGAACACGAGAGCTGTGATCACTGCCTTCAAAGAGTGCCCCCAGATGAGGGTTTGGATCTGTTCTGTGAGTCCGTCAGCAGGAGGAAGAGTTTTCACTGGCAGGAGCTGTCCAGCACTGGCCCAGCTCCCTCTACCTGTAGGACACCTCCAACAGCTGCTGACAAGGTTCTCTTCACAGGCCTGGGAATGATAATCATACCAGGAGCTGTAACTGCCTCATCCCAGAGGAGAGGGACCAGAGGCTGGGCAAGCCCCTGAGAAATGCAATGGGAAGGGCTGTCCCTCATCTCCGAAGGGACAAGGAAGACTGTGATTTGACAGAGGGACCAGAGAATTTAAACTTGGATCACTGTGTGGGCTCTGGGGTATGTGGTTTCCTTTGGAAGACCTCTCTTCACATGTGAACTGTCTTCACAGAACAAAAATATTAGGGTTGATAAGGCCCAGAGCCAAAACAAAGGACCAGGGATGTAACTGTTGAGCTTAAGAGGTGGTTTATGGCATTTCTGGGCAGGGGCAAAGGCCTAAGGTTTGTCACCTACCCCTTTCCCTTCTTTATCCTCTTACAGGTTCCCTAGGCTTTTCGTCTGCTGCAATGATGGAGATTCACTTGTGCCAGGACATTGGGGACTGAACATGGCCCTTTTTGTCTAGGCTGGGTGTGTGTGTGCCCAAAAGAATGAATTTCTGCTGGTAAAACATAAGAGTATAGGGGGCGGAAAAAAAAAAAAAGTATAGGGGGCCAGAGAGAGGCTTCTCAAAGGACTGCATAAGCTGTGCCTAGAACAGTGGGTCCAGTCTGTGAGGCCCTCCCCTCTCCTCTCCGTCGCTTCCTGTGTCCCTGGGACAGTCATTTCACCACTGCATCTGGCCCCTACTCGGAAATTTTGCCACCTTTTACAGGCTTGTAAAAGACTCCCACGTGGAGTAGGGACTAGAGGGAAGGAGTGTGATAGAACCTTGCCCTCAGTTTCTAGCACAGTGTCTAGGCTTGCTCTTCCTTGCTGTGTGACCCCGGACACATCTACCTCTTCTGAGCTTCAGTTTCTTCATCTGTAAAACCAGGATGATAAAACTACCTCACAAGATTGTATGAAGATTCTGTGGGGTCACCTGTGCCAAAGGAGCCACTCTCAACTTCAGTTGTCCTCTCTTCCAGCTTTAGATCTAGAGCCCCGTCACTGCTGCTGTCAGTCAGCAAGCATCACGGCAGCTTACACACCACCTCCTGCCTAAGGTTGCAGAAATGAGTAAGACAGCTCTGCTCCTGGGGTAGCTTGGTGTCTTATGGAGGAGATGAGCTCAGGACCAATAACAACAGAGACAGCAGTGCTGGCAGACAGGTGCCTCCCCTGGAGTGATCTGGGAGGCTTCATGGAGGTGGCAACCCAATGGACAGTGCTTGTCTATTCAAGCTGAGAAGGAACAAATACCTGCAGGCAGGGAAATCAGTGATGGAGGAAAGGCTTCTTGCCATGTTCCACCAAGGAACACAGGGCCTGGTTTTGGAGTTGAGCCCTAAGCCCAGCACAGAATAGGTGCTCAATACGCCATTGTGATTGGGTCCTGATTGTACTGCTTACTAGGAGCCTTTGGGCCAAGTTTCTTCATTGGAGGAGAATCCCTGCCCTGCCTCCTCTGCAGAGCTGCACTGAATATCAAGTGTTAGAAATGTACTTTGCAAAATCTGTGTAAGGGATGGTGGGTCCTTGGGGGAGGGGAGGGTGGAAGGAGGATTTGTCTTCAGTATCCCTTCCAGAGAAATGGAAGCTACTTGCTCACACTGGTCAAGGAGGCATCTCCTCCAGAATCACAGAAACTGGCCCACCCCAGAGCAGAGAGGCAGGCCAGATCTTAGAAGCATGAGAGGCGGGTTTAATCCAACAGGTGTTTACTCAGCATTCACTGTGCCCTGAGCTGGGAGGACAGGCAGCCTCACTGTCCAAGCATGTGATGGGTCCTTAAGCAAAGGTTGCAGACACATTTGTTTGACCCACCCTGTGTGTGTGTGTGTGTGTGTGTTTCTACAATTGAACCAACATTCAGGAGAATGTGCCTTGGACTTCTAAGAGGTCATTGGGACACTGGACTCCAAACATTTTAGCATCCCTGGTGCAGAGTCTCTACTCACCAGAAAGGATATGCTTAGAAATACTTGCCCTGAGGCTCTGTGTCCTTCAGTTGACAAGGGTTGTTTCTCTCCGGTTCCTTTAGCCACCCCTATCCCTGTGGGTGTTTGTGAGAGAGGCATGCTTCCAGAGGGTAAGGCATTTAGACTGCCTTCCCAACTCTGATGTAAAGGAAGGAGCAACTTTGGCATTCATGAGTCTTGAGGCCTTTTCTGGGTCCAGGCCTCCCAGCACTTAGGGTCACTGAGAATTGAGACCCAATTGCTGATCTGAATGGGCAGGGCTGGTAGGGGAGAGACTGAGATGGAGGGAGGGTGGCTGTGGGAGTCCAGCCTGGGGTTAGAGAAAGCTGCCTAAAGTGGGTCCTTGGGTTGCCCCTTAACAGATGAGTGTGAGCCAGCCTGGTGAGGGGAGGGAGTGGTGGTCCAGATTGC